GAACCCACCGATACGGAGAGCTGACTGTATTCCCATACCCATCAGAAAACAATAGGTGCTCTAGCTGTACCCATCAGAAAACAGAGATGCTCTAGCTGTGACAACTCACCCTCCTCTGGAGGCCATTCGGGGTTAGGATTAACACATAATTCATTTTTCTGTTACCTGAGCAATCTCTCTGTCTGTGGTCAAAAAGAAAACAGAAGAAAATGTATCTTTTCCCACTTAGGGAATTCACTCCTCAGGTTAAAAGGCTAATCCTTTCTTTCCATTTTTTATTTCTTCCTAATTTTAATCCCATGTTCCTTGTGCCTTTCTTGTTGTTATAAAGAGGCAGCTATTTGAGAGGGTTTCCATTTTTCAATTTAGTGAAACTTTATACCTGAGGTTGCCGCATGTGCTTAGTTTTCCGGATTGTCTGAATATCACTTACTTTGTGTTGAGGTTCCTTGGTACAAAGTCACCTGACAGAGCTAATGTTTGTGAAATGTGGTCACAATACTTTCACTGGCATAGCCACGGAATTTTATTCATTCTTCCATTTATTCATGCAGGGAACATATTTTGAGTCCTTGCTCTCAATAAATTCAGAAAATACAAAGGGGAAGAAGATACAGTTCATTATCTCAGTGCAGCCACAGGCTACTTGGGAAGGAAACAGATCATTCTTGTGCCCTGTAATAATTGCTGTGATTCCGTTGACTCTGAGGGTAAGGACAGAAGCCAGTGGGAAGGGCCTTACTCCAGTCTTGGGAAGGTCAGGAAAGGGATCCCAGAGCTAGTAGAGTCTAAGGTGAGATATAATGAGGTCAGATAAAGAGGCGTTGGCCGCGTGGAAGCAAATGGGAGAGCAATAGTTAGGCTGAGGAGACAGCACAGCTTGAGGCTCTTGGAAGATTTGCAGCTTGTTCAAGGGAGCTGCATGAAATTCAGCATGGTGGCAGCTGAGTGAGATGCCAGAAGTCAAGGCCAGTAGGTTAGGGAGGGACCAAATCATGAAGGACCTTTGAGCCACAGCACAGAGTTTGGACTTTATCCTGAGAAAAACAACTAGCCATTGAAGGGTTCTACTGAGGGAAGTGCAGAATCAGATTTAGAATGAGACCCGGCTGCTGCCTGAAGAGCTGGCTGGGGCAGAGGGGAGACTGAGGCTAGAAGGTCAGTGGGGAGACCACTGAAAGCCAGGAGAAAAGGTGGCCTCAGTCCGGGCAGGCAGCAGGGCTGGGGAAACACCAGGAAACTCCAGAGCACTTGCTGCCAGCTCCCCAGGGCTTCTCTGCTGCTTTTAGACTCCCAGTCTGATTCAGACCCACCCTGCCTGCCACCTGAGGATTTGAAGTACTAAAGGAGATGCAAATTTTTAAACCAAGCCCTAAAAACCATTCTTAGTAAAATGCACTCAAGCCAGAGGCCATTATACAAACCAAGTATTATATGGAAAATACAGTGTCTGGCTGTGACCACATGAAAAGTTCTCACTGCATACAAAGGACATGAGATCAGGACTCACAGGACGAGAGTGGGCAGGGTTGACAGAACATGAAGGAAGGGCCTCCAACTTTGGGCTCAGCCCTCTCCTGGCTGGTGCCCTTTCTATTTTATAGCTAGAAAGTTATTTTAAAGAGGAAATCCTCTGCACGGAATGCCAGCCTGGATAGGTGGTGTTTCCTAAAGGGGAAGAACCCCCAATGAAGGGCATAGCTTTTGGACTCTGACAGACGTGGGTTTTAACTCTAGCTCTGTTCCTTATTGGCTGTGTGACCTTGAGCAAATAACTTACCTTCTCTGAGTCATAGTTATTCATCTGGGAAAAAAAAAAAAAAAAGACTATCTGGCCAGGCATGGTGACTCACACCTGCAGTCCAAGCACTTTGGGAGGCTGAGGCAGGAGGATTGCAGGAGTTTGAGACCAGCCTGGGGAACATGGCAAAACCTTATCTGTACAAAAAATGCAAAAATGAGCTGGGCGTGGTGGTGTGGACCTGTAGTCCCAGTTACTCAGGAGGCTGAGGCAGGAGGATCGCTTGAGCTGGGGAGGTGGAAGCTGCAGTGAGCTATGATTGCATCACTGTACTCCAGCCTGGGCAACAATGTGAGACCCTATCAAAAAAAGAAAAGAAAGGAAAAGAAAAGAAGAAAAGAAAAGAAAGAAGAGAAAAGAAAAGAAAAATGAAAAGAAAAGAAGAAGAAATCTATCTCACTGTAACGGCCCAATGAGTTTATCTTGCCTGCTGCCTAGACAGAGGCGATTTATCAAGATAGGGGAATTGCAATGGAGAAAGAGTAATTCAGGCAGAGTAGGCTGTGCAGGAGATCTGAGTTTTATTATTATTCAAATCAGTCTCCCTGAGCATTTGGGGATCAGAGTTTTTTGTTCGTTTGTTTTGTTTTGAAACCGAGTCTCGCTCTGTCCCCCAGGCTGCAGTGACAGTGGTGCAGTCTCAGCTCACTGCAATCTCCGCCTCCCAGGTTCAAGCAAGTCTCCTGCCTCAGCCTCCCTAGTAGTTGGGATTATAGGTGCACACCACCATGCCCAGCTAATTTTTGTATTTTTAGTAGAGACAAGGTTTCACCGTGTTGGCCAGGCTGCTCTCGAACTCCTGACCTCAAGTGATCTGCCCACCTCGGCCTCCCAGAGTGCTGGGATTACAGGTGTAAGCCACCGCACCCAGCTTGGGGATCAGAATTTTCAAAGATAATTTGGTGGGTAAGGTCTTGGGAAGTGGGGAGTGCTGATTGGTCGGGTTGGAAATGGAATCGTAGGGGGTTGAAATTAGATTTTCTTAATGTCTTCTGTTCCTGGATGCGATGGCAGAACTGGTTGGGCCAAATTACCAGTCTGGGTGATGTCTGCTGATCCATTGAGTGCAGGGTCTGCAAAATATCTCAGACACTGATACTAGGTTTTACAATAGTGATTTTATCCCCAGGAGCAATTTGGGGAGGTTCAGGCTCTTGGAGCCAGAGGCTGCATGACCCCTAAACCGTAATTTCTAATCTCGTAGCCAGTTTGTTAGTCCTACAAAGGCAGACTGGTCCCCATGCAAGAAGGGGGTCTTTTTAGGAAAGGTCTATTACCAATTTTGTTACAGAGTCAAACCATGAACTGAATTCCTTCCTCAAGTTAGTTCAGCCTACACCCAGGAACGACCAAGGACAGCTGAAAGATTAGAAGCAAGATGGAGTCAGTTAGGTCTGATTTCTTTCACTGTCAGAATTTCTTCAGTTATAATTTCGCAAATGTGGTTTCATCACTCTGAGTTTGTGGGGATGAAAGGTGCTGCCCTTATAAATGAGTCAGGAGTGGGGAGGCCAACACTTGCCCCACACTTCCTCAGAGGATTATCACTTATCTGCCAGCGACATCAAGGACTTCGGGGTGCAAAGAGGAGCTTGGAAGTGAGGCATTCTCCTAAGAGGCTGAACCAAGCCCACCCTGTCCTTTCTCTCTCTCTCTCTTTAAAAAAAAAAAAAAAAAAAAAAAAAACTTCAAGCCAGGTGTGGTTGCACGTGTGTATAATCTCAGCTACTCAGGAGGCTGAGGCAGGAGAATCGCCTGAACCCGGGAGACAGAGGTTTCAGTGAACCAAGATTGCACCACTGCACTCCAGCCTGGGCGACAGAGCAAGACTCCATCTCAAAAAACAACAAAAAAACAAACACTTCATACACAGAAATTCAACCTTTATTAGTTCCTTATTCTTCCTGGCACTTTTCCTTCTAAGCTGGGGATTTCATGACACAGTAATTCCTACCCCCCTCACTTGAAGAGATAGGAGAACTGGCAGTTTTCAGACAGCATGATACCTGATGACTTCTGGACCTGGTGCTGGTTCCCACGGAGGTTTCTGCTGGTGGGTTTCTGCTCCAGTAAGCTGTGACTGCCTTGTCTTTGTATCTTTATATCCCAACACTCAGATTATAAGGAAACGTATTACACATATGAACTGAGTGCACAATCTCCAATATTACTTTCACATTTTTTCTCCTTCTGACCTCTTTCACTATTTTTCTTCTTTTATCTAGTGGTAATAGTTTTGCGTATCTATTTTTTAAATTAGAAACTGGTGGCCGGGCGCGGTGGCTCAAGCCTGTAATCCCAGCACTTTGGGAGGCCGAGACGGGCGGATCACGAGGTCAGGAGATTGAGACCATCCTGGCTAACACGGTGAAACCCCGTCTCTACTAAAAAAATACAAAAAACTAGCCGGGCGAGGTGGCGGGCGCCTGTAGTCCCAGCTACTCGGGAGGCTGAGGCAGGAGAATGGCGTAAACCCAGGAGGCGGAGCTTGCAATGAGCTGAGATCCGGCCACTGCACTCCAGCCTGGGCGACAGAGCGAGACTCTGTCTCAAAAAAAAAAAAAAAAAAAAAGAAACTGGTATGCAGAATTCTCATGTCTTTCAATGCCCCTTGCACTTGTATAATTCCCCTTCCATGCAAGCGGGTGGAATCCGTAAATATGAGATAGCATGTGTAAACCAGGAGTATGTCAGACAAGTCTTAATCAATTTAGAAAGTTTATCTTGTCACAGTTAAGGACGTGACCATGACAGCCTCAGGAGATCCTGACGACATTTGCCAAGGTGGTCAGGACACAGCTTGGTTTTATATTTTTCAGGGAGACATGAGACATGAATCAACATATGTAAGATATACATTGGTTTGGTCCGGAAAGGTAGGACAACTCAAAGTGGGGAGGGGTCTTCCAGGTAATAGGTAGATAAAGACAAATGGTTGCATTCTTTTGAGTTTCTGATTAGCCTTTCGGGAATACACAAGGCGCAAGTGAATACAAAACAAAATTTCAAAAATGGTAATGTCTCAATACAATGGAATCAAGTTTATTTCTGTTAAAGATCCAGGAAATGAATTCACAGTGTGATATTGTGATCTATTAAAAGAAAAACCTTAGACAGGTCAAGTGTAGTGGCTCACACCTGTAATTCCAGTGCTTTGGGAGGCTGAGTCAGGATAAGTTCACGAGTTCAAGACCAACCTTGGCAACATAGACCTCGTCTCAATTAAAAAAAGGTTTCTTAATTAAGAAAAACCTTAAGTGCTTGCTAGAACAGTTTTGAAACGGTTTGAGGCCTTGCCCTGCTCCATCCAGAGCAAGGTTATAGAAATTTCAGACAATGACTGGCTCCCTCCTGGATCTGGTGTCTTGTATAGAGCTGGGCCTTGTATAGATCTGCCCCATCTAATGTGGCAGCCACTTGGCATGCATGATTAAATTAAATTTAATTTTCACACTAACCACATTTCAGGCGGTCAGTAGCCACAGGTGGCCAGTGGCTACCATATTGGGCCGCACTGATTAGAGGGCATTTCTGTCGCTGTGGAAGTTGTTTTGGACGATGCTAGTGTGAAAGGTAAAGGGAATTCTGAGTGTTTGCTATGCTCCAGGCTCAGTACAAATTTTATTTTATTATACACTTAAAGCAAAAGTCTTTTAAAAGTTGAGAATGAAGCCAAGAGAGGTGGTAAGGGTAGGAGTTGAAACAGTGGAGAGGAATAACAGGGAAGAGTCCTGCCCTGAGAGACTCATGAACAGGATATTTACAAGGCAAAGCAAAGAGAACCAAAGTCTCAGTTCTGCAGAGGGGCTGAGTGCCCCAGGAGCTAGTGGAGGGTGAGGTCAATGTGTACTCATCTTAAAGGAAAAACTCATGGAAGAGGAAGGTGCTAATGTTGAACACCTATTTTGCCCAGACCTCTTAATTCTTGTTTTAAATATTTGAGGTATCACCATGAGGTTGTGTTTAAATTCAGTACACATGAGGGGCCCAAGGTCAGAATTATGTGTCCAGGGTTGCCCAGCCACAAACCAGCAGATCAGGGTTTGATGCCAGGCCTCTCTCATCCTGCAGCCTGAGTGGAATATAGAAGCCGGTGGGAAGGAGATGGATGCCTTCAAGTTCTTGTCTTGGTGTTAGGCCAGGAACAGTTGCTGAACACCCCAGGCCTGCTAAGGTCCCTCCTTGAGTCTCGTGTTCAAGCAATCTTTGTCCATGAAACTGGGAGGCGACCTTGTTAGCTGCCAGTTCCTGACAGCCACCTCTCACCAGTGGCTCCACTCTGTGTCCCTGACCCAGCACATGGCACAAGAGTACCTGCCATCCCTCAGTGTTTCTACAGCAGCAATCCTGAGATGCCGGAGCTAGAGGGGACCTGACCTGAGAGAAGATACCTTCAGTGGCTGCTAGGCTGTTCCTTGGAACCTGTGCAGGGATGAGGCCTGCCTGTGTTAATACATCTGCTGATGAGTGGAGCTGAATTTGAATGCAAGTCTTGGCACCTTAATTGAGCAAGTTTGAAACCTTGTTTGCTGCCCTTCTGGAAGGAGTCAGGAATTTCCAGTTCTGGGCCTGGCCTATGGGTCTGACAGACCTCTGGCCCTAGGTTTGGGTGCCAGGTTCTCTGCTTCCAGAATGAGAAGCTTTGCTGTGCACCAGGACCTGGGCCCTTCTGGTATCTCCTGAATGAAAAACAAGGGCTATTTAATAAATATGGATTTAAATATGAAAAAAAAAAAAAAGGCCGGGCGCGGTGGCTCAAGCCTGTAATCCCAGCACTTTGGGAGGCCGAGACGGGCGGATCACGAGGTCGGGAGATCGAGACCATCCTGGCTAACACGGTGAAACCCCGTCTCTACTAAAAAAATACAAAAAACTAGCCGGGCGAGGTGGCAGGCGCCTGTAGTCCCAGCTACTCAGGAGGCTGAGGCAGGAGAATGGCGTGAACCCGGGAGGCGGAGCTTGCAGTGAGCTGAGATCCGGCCACTGCACTCCAGCCTGGGCGACAGAGCGAGACTCCGTCTCAAAAAAAAAAAAAAAAAAAAAAAAGAAAAACCTCGGCCAGGTGCAGTGGCTCACGCCTGTAATCCCAGCACTCTGGGAGGCTGAGGCGGGCATATCATGAGGTGAGGAGTTTAAGACCAGCCTGGCCAACATGGTGAAATCCTGTCTCTACTAAAAATACAAAAATTAGCCATGGTGCCTCGTGCCTGTTATCCCAGCTACTAGGGAAGCTGAGGCACGAGAATTGCTTGAACCTGGGAGGCGGAGGCTGCAGTGAGCCAAGATCGCACCGCTGCACTCCAGCCGGGGCCGTAGAACGAGACTGAGTCTGAAAGAAAAAGAAAAGAAAAAGAAAAACCTACATTTTCTGTTATTTCAAAAAAAAAAAAAAACAAACAAAAAAACACCTTAGACAGATTAAATTTAACAATTTTTAATTGAGCAAAGAATGATTTATGAACCAGGTAACACCCAAACCAGAATAAGTTCAGGGAGACTCTGGCGCTGTTGTGTGGTCTAAATTTTATGGACAGAAAAAGGAAAGTGATGTACATAAAACAGAAGTGATGTACAGAAGCAGCTGGATTGGATATAGTTTGATGTTTGCCTTATTTGAACACAGTTTGAACAGTTGGCCACCTTTGATTGGTCAAAACTCAAAGATTGGTACAATAGTAAGGTTACAGCCTGTTTACACATTTTGGTTACAGTTCACTATGTACAAAAAAACCTTTAGGCTGAACTTAAAATACGTAAGAAGGCAGCTTTAAGCTTTCATATTGAATTCTGAAAGGAAACAAAAACAAAAGTGTTCTCTTAACCTATGATGTGGGTTAAGAGAAGTCCAACGTCCTGTTTCTGACTGATTATGGAGCAACAAAGGTACTCAAATTTCTTGCCCATGTTGCCTCCTTACCTTCCATGTATCAAGGGATAAGTTTGTCCATGTACAAATAAAAGTATACCCTATGAGTGCACACAAGGGACCTCTTTCTCAGTTCTATTGTTCATAGAGGCATAAGCAAAGAAAAAACTGAGAGATAAGAGTTTCATGATACCAGAGGAGTCTTGATCTGTGATCCTGGGACATAGCCGTCTACATCTAGGATGCTGTCTGCTTATAGGGAGAAGCTTCCCTGGGTAGCTTTCTTTCTTTCTTTTCTTTTCTTTTTTTTTTTTTTTGGAAACAGTCTTGTTTGCTCTGTTGCTCAGGCTGGTGTGCAGTGACACAATCCCAGCTCACTGCAGCCTCGAACTCCCAGGCTGCAGCAATCTTCCCATCTCAGCCTCCCAAGTAGCTAGAACTACAGGTGCGTACCATTGTGGCTGGCTAATTTTTGTATTTTTTGTAGAGATAGGGTTTCACCATGTTGGCCAGAGTGGTCTTGAACTCCTGAGATCAAGGTATTAGCCTGCCTCAGCCTCCCAAAGTTCTGGGATTACAGGAGCGTGCCACTACGCCTGGCTAACTTTTTAAAGTTTTTTTTTTGAAACGGAGTCTCACTTTGTCACCCAGGCTGGAGTGCAGTGGCGCGATCTCAGCTCACTGCAGGCTCCTCCTCCCAGGTTCACGCCATTTTCCTGCCTCAGCCTCCCGAGCAGATGGGACTACAGGTGCCCGCCACCATGCCCGGCCAGTTTTTTGTATTTTTAGTAGAGACAGGGTTTCACCGTGTTAGCCAGGATTGTCTCGATCTCCTGACCTCATGATCTGCCCTCCACGGCCTCCCAAAGTGCTGAGATTACGGGTGTGAGCCACCGTGCCTGGCCTTTTAAAGTTTTTGTAGAGACAGAGTCCTACTATGTTGCTTAGGCTGGTCTTGAACTCCTGGGCTCAAGCAATCCTCCCACCTCAGCCTCTCAAAGTGCTGGGATTATAGGCATGAGCCACTATGCCCAGCCAGATTTACATTAAGGTCCCCAAAGGGGGACAGTTCTAAGAATCTGGAGGGACCCTTCTGAGTTGTGAGATTAGGAACCTAAAGTTTAAGGTTTAGAAGTTTTGCTGCAGCGTGGGTGACAAAGGTAGTCTTTCTCTACTGTTCTCAGAAGAACCCATCTTTTAGTCCCAGGTTGTGAAGAGTTTGATCAGTGAGTGGACCATGAAAAGTTTTCTTAACCTAGTGAAAACATACTTTTGGCATAATGCATTAAAGTTTTTTTTTGTTTGTGGTTTTTTGTTTGTTTGTTTGTTTTCCAGATGGAGTCTTGCTCTGTTGCCCAGGCTGGAGTGCAATGGCGCGATCTCAGCTCACCGCAACCTCCACCTCCCAGGTTCAATCGATTCTCCTGCCTCAGCCTCCCGAGTAGCTGAGATTACCGGCGCCTGCCACCACTCCCAGCTAATTTTTTGTATTTTTTAGTAGAGACAGGGTTTCACCATGTTGGCCAGGCTGGTCTCAATCTCCTGACCTCATGATCTGCCCGCCTCGGCCTCCTAAAGTGCTGGGTTTACAGGGATGAGCCACCACGCCCGGCCCGACCAAGGAAATCTTAATCTTTGACCTTAATATGTGTGTATTTATTTTTTGAGACAGTTTCTCACTCTGTCACTCAGGCTGGAGTGCAGTGGTGCTATCTCAGCTCACTGCAGCCTCGACCTCCTGGGCTCAGGTAATCCTCCCACCTCAGCCTCCCGAGTAGCTGGGACCAGAGACATGCACCACCACACATGCCCAACTAATTTATTTTTGTATTTTTTTTTAATAGAGTCGGGGTTCTCTCTATGTTGCCCAGGCTGGTCTTCAACTCCTAGGCTCAAGCAATTTGCCCATCTCCCAAAGTGCTGGCTTTCTAACGTGCTGGGATTATAGATGTGAGTCACTGTGCCCAGTCAATCTTTTTTTTTTTTTTTTTGAGACGGAGTCTCGCTTTGTCGCCCAGGCTGGAGTGCAGTGGCGCGATCTCGGCTCACTGCAAGCTCCGCCTCCCGGGTTCACGCCATTCTCCTGCCTCAGCCTCCTGAGTAGCTGGGACTACAGGCGCCCGCCACCGCGCCCGGCTAATTTTTTGTATTTTTAGTAGAGACGGGGTTTCACTGTGGTCTCGATCTCCTGACCTTGTGATCCGCCCGCCTCGGCCTCCCAAAGTGCTGGGATTACAGGCTTGAGCCACCGCGCCCGGCTAATTTTTTTTCTTTTTGAGATGGAGTCTCGCTCTGTTGCCCAGGCTGGAGTGCAATGGTGTGATCTCGGCTCACTGCAACCTCCACCTCCTGGGGTCAAGTGATTCTCCTGCCTCAGCCTCCCAAGTAGCTGGGACTACAGGTGCATACTACCAGCCTGGCTAATTTTTTTGTATTTTTAGTAGAGATGGGGGTTTCACCATGTTGGCCAGGC